ACAGAATACAGGCTGACCTCAGAGATACTGAGGGTTTTGTTCCAAACCACTGCAATAAAGCAAATATCATGATAAAGTTGAGCCACATGGATTTTTTGCATATAAAAGTTATGTTTACTCTATAGTTTATTAACTGTGTAATAGCATTACATCTAAAAGAATAATGGACATATCTTAATTTGCAAATATTTTATTGCTGTGTGTGCTAAGTCACTTCAGTTGTGTCTGACTCTTTGGGACCCTAGGGACTGTAGCCTGCCAGGCTCCTCTGTCCATGGGATTTTCCAGGCAAGAATACTGGATTGGGTTCTCCTGCCTTCCTTCAGGGCATCTTCCTGACCCAAGGATTGAACCCACATCTCTTATATCTCTAGAATTGACAAGCATGTTCTTTACCACTAGCGCTACCAAGTTTCAAATGATTACTAAAAAATGACAAATCAATTACAATAATAACATCAAAAATCATTGATCACAGATCACCATAAGAAATACAGTAACAATGAAAAAATTTGAAATATTCCAAGAATTACCAAAATGTTACACAGAGACATAAAGCAAACAAATGCTGTTGGGAAAATGGTGCCCACAGACTTGCTCCATACAAGGTTGCCACAAACCTTCACTTTGCAAAAAGAAAGAAAAAAATGCAATATCTTGAAAACACAATAAAATGAAGTACACCTGTAATGTCTTCCATTAGGGATTATTTTCTTAGGAAACTAATGACCTACAGAGAGAGAGGAATGGGAAGAACTTAGCAGGAAGAGGATGTATTTTTAAAGAGAGCCCATACATGCTCCCCAGGTGGCACCAGTGGTAAAGACCCCATCTGCCAATGCAGGGGAAGTAGGAGATGCGGGTTGAATCCCTGGGTCAGGAAGAATCCTCTGGACAGAGGAGCCTGGCAGGCTTCAGTCAGGGGTGGTGAAGAGTTGGACACAACTAAAGCGACTTAGCACACACACAGCCTTTATAGTGTTCAAACAACAAGCCAGACAATTCTAAGCCCTTAACATCCAGGAACTCACTTAATCCTCCCAACGACTGCACTCAATTGAGACTATTATTACTATTACGTGTTTTCATGTAATAATTTGGGAAGTAATTAGTAATAATAGTTTGGGAACCTGATCCTCACAGTGGTTAAGTAATTTGCCCTAACCCAGCTAGTCAGTGGTGGGGCTCAATTCCAACCCAGACCTTCTGACTTCAGAGTCCGTTCTCAGAATCACTACTTTCTGTAGAGCTTATGGGAAAGTCATCTCCCTGCGCACGTGGACATGCTCCTTCAGGAAGAAGAACTGTGTGGACCAGACCGGACTTGTAACAGGAAGAGACTGGGGTTGGTTTGAGAAGAAAAGAAGCTTCTTAAACAAATCTGAAACTGAAAGCATTTTTCAAACACATCAAATACACAAAATGGCTGGAAAAGGGAGTGGTTCATTAAAGAAATGGAAAGACACAAGATATTTTTAGGAATTGTAGAATGTCGAATAAGAACTGGATATTAGATGATATTAAAGTATTGTTTTTAATTTTCTTAAGCGTGACAAGGGAATTATGGACATAGAGAATGTGCTTCTTCTTAGGCATCAGGGGCTGAAGTATTAGGTTGATGCAAACATAATCGCGGTTTCAGACCGTGAATTTTAAATCATTATAACTAGGCTCAAACACATCTTTATTATTAATATATTCTATTTCAGACATATGTTAAAGCAGTTAGCTCTACACCAGAAACTAATACCACATTGTAAATCAGTTATACTTCAATTAAAAGATAAATAAAAGAAAAAAAAACTTTATATGCATTAAGCACTTTATAGACCAGAGGCATTCTGAGCAATACTTACTTATCATACCACCACCTATGAGATGGCTACTAATTTGACCATTCTTTACATGAGAACCTATTTCCAGAGAGACTGGGGTAGACATGGGAGTGGCACCACTCACGCTTACCCCTAACAACCACCAGCAAATGTTTCTCTTCCTGTTCCCGCAACTCTATCCTCTGCTAGCCTAGAGGAATGCTTTCACCAGGAGACACGACAATTGTTCCATTGAACTAGAAGTTAAGACAGCCACCCACCCATGCCTCTGAATCAATAGGCAAAACAAGGAGCTATGGTGTTGGCTCATTTAATTGATCCTAGCTATGGCGTGCTGCGATTCATGGGGTCGCAAAGAGTCAGACACGACTGAGCGACTGAACTGAACTGACGCAGTCATTGCGGAGAAGGCAGTGGCACCCACTCCAGGACTCTTGCCTGGAAAATCCCATGGACGGAGAAGCCTGGTAGGCTGCAGTCCATGGGGTCGCTGAGAGTCGGACACGACTGAGCGACTTCACTTTCACTTTTCACTTTCATGCATTGGAGAAGGAAATGGCAACCCACTCCAGTGGTCCTGCCTGGAGTTTCCCAGGGAGGGGGGAGCCTGATGGGCTGCCGTCCATGGGGTCGCACAGGGTTGGACACGACTGAAGCGACTTGGCAGCAGCAGCAGCAGCATGCAATCATTGAGGTAAGGAAGAATCTGGAGGGCAGGAGAGCCCATAGGGCACTTGTTAGAAAGACTATGCCCTGTGATTAAGGTCAGTGAAAAACTACACCAAATCTAAGACCAGACCCTTCACAAATGAAGGTTTAGGTCACCCTACCAGGTAAAGAATCATGACTAACTGTAGTGTTTGTTGAGGGCAAAGGGAATGCAGAATGGACAGTAGAAGACAGATACAAATATCAGCTCTGTGTGTGCTGAGTCACTCAGTCATGTCCAACTCTACGACACCATCGCCCATAGCCCACCGGTTCCTCTGTCCATGGGGATTCTCCAGGTAAGAATACTGGAGTGCATTGCCATGCTCTCCTCCAGGGGATCTTCCCAACTCAGGGATTGAACCCAGGTCTCCCTCACTGCAGGCAGATTTTTTACCATCTGAGCCACCAGGGAAGCCCATAAATATCAGCTACAACCACACAACCTATAATGGTAGCTAGAACTGGAATTGTCATGAATATTTCCTCCTTTGTCACAAAAACATTTGTCTGTCTATACTAACATCTGAAGATATTAAGCAAAATCTACTTTCCTATCTTTTCCCCATGTCACGCAACATAAGATGTATTGACTTTGTATCAGTATTTTTTTTTAAGGATCGTTGATTTTACATCATAGCATTCAAAGTACAGAATATCTGGAGAGTAAACATCACTCAAGGACTTTACTTCCTCTTTGGGGAAAGGAATTAGTGTATTTTCAGTTGTACTAGGATAGTTGTGTGATGTTAGTGCAAGTGTGACCTCATTATTGCCTTTATTTGGAGATTAAGTATGGTTTAGGAGATGTGTATAGCTGCCAGGCTGACAAGGAGTGGATTTGTGATGGTTCTTTTCATGTATTAGCTTGACTGGGCTAAGGGATGCCTGATAGCTTATTTCTGGGTGTGTCTATGGGAGTGTTTCAGGAGGAGATTACCATTTGAATTAGCAGACTGAGTAAAATTGACCCACCCTCAGTACTGTGGCAGACCCATCCAATCCTTTGAGGTTAGAGCAAAATGGTGGCGGAATGGTCTCCCCATCTCTCTCTTTCTCTCATAGAGCTTCAGTGGCCATCTTCTCCGGTCCTGGAATATTAAAGCTCCTGGTCCTCAGGTCTACCATTGACTTTCTGGGGTCTCCAGCCCGCAGGTGGCAGATCATGGGCCTTCTCGGCCTCCATAACCAAGACATTCAATTCCTATGATAAATCTCTTTGTATGTAGACATATAGAGATGTATCTACTTGGTTTGGTTTTCCTGGAGAACCCTGACCAACAGGGCCAGAAGCTTTATGAGCATTATTTTTTTCCTTATACCACCACCTATGAAGTGAGAACTAATTTTATGCCCATTGTATAAGTGAGAAAATCTCAGAGAAGTTGAAGGCCTTGTCCATGCTACATGATTAGCAAGCTGAAGTGCAGGGAGTCAGGTTGGTCTGACTCCAAAGCCCAGGCTTATTCCAATCCAGGTCGCCACTACCAGAGCAAGGCCTTAATGACGCACAGCACTGCTAGGGTCAGTGCCAGCTGCCTGAAAAGTCTCAGAGGACCTCAGGCTCGCTGCCACTCTTCAAGATCTTCTCTACAAGCTCCTCCAACTTGATAAATTCCTGGCCCCAAACCCGTATGACAGAGTGAGGCGTCAAAAGCCATTCAGCTGTTTGGGAAGCCCCAGCTACACAGAAAATTATCTCAGCACTTTTTTTGTGTGTGAGCTCAATGGGTGCTCCAAAACTAATTTCCCCTCTACCAAAGGGTGAGATCTTAATGGCATTTTTATTTATTTCCTTCTTTTCTTTTTTTCATTTTGACAGTTTTATTCCAAAATTGGAATATCACTTTTGGTGTCCTTGAATTTTCTCTCTGATTTTTTATAGCAAAATCCTTCTACCTTTAAGACTCTCAGGGCTTCCCTGGTGGCTCAGTGGTAAAGAATCTGCCTGCCAATGCAGAAGGCACGGGTTCAATCCCTGATCCAGGAAGATCCCACATATCGTGGAGCCACGAAGCCCAACTAAGCTCATGTGCCACAACTACCGAGCCTGTGCACTAGAGCCCGGGAACCACAGCTACTGCACCCGTGTGCCCTAGAGCTGGTGCTCCGCAGCAAGAGAAACCCCCACAAAGAGAAGCCGGCACCCCACAACCAGGAGTAGCCTCCCCCGGCTCACCCACACAGCAGTGAAGACCCAGTACAGCCAAAATTTAAATAAATAAATAAACCTTTATCTCTGGGGGGGAAGAAAATGGCCCACATCAAAAAATCTTAAAAAATAAAAAGACTCTAGTGAAGTGGACTGAAGCATATTGGTCATTTTCTTTTTTTCCAGAAAAAGAAGAAAATCGGGTTGTGCAACTTTTCCAGCCCCTCCCATCCTCCTCCTGCTGCTGGAGGACCTTCCCAAACCCCACCTCTGCACGTGACCTTCTCTGCTTCACGCCCTTCAAGGCGCCCTCGTGGAGCCGCAGATGGGTCGAGAGGCCCCCCGGACGGCGTTCATCGGGTGGGCGAAGCTCTTTCAGCAGGAGCGCTGCACCGGGAACGGTGCGCTCCTGGACGGGCTGTGTCATCTTCTGCCTCTTCCTTCCTCTACCTTCCTCTGCCTTCCTCGCCCCTGCTGCTGCTCCAGACTTGGGCCAAGTGTCACCCTTCTCCTTAAACCGGAGACTGGGAAAGACGCCCCTTCCTGAACGGGGCTGGACCCGTTCACGTCTCGGTCCTGAAGCTCCTTGCACCAGGATTGGGCCAGAGCCGACGGTCCATCCGTGCTTCTCTAAGTGAGTCTGCGTTCCACAGCGGATTAGCCAGAAGACTTTGGGCCAGGTATTCTTTACCCTCTTGAAGTCTCAACTGTCTCATTTTAAACTGGAGGTAACAAACCATCACAATGCTGTAAAGCAATCTTCCTCTGATTAAAAAATAAATCTAAAAATTAAGATAAACTGGAGATGATAATAGCTCCTCAACAGATGGTCCAAGTAAGGACAAAACAAGGTGATGCAGGTGAGATATTTCCAGGCCTAGCCCAACCTGGCCCAGGACAGCTTGTTTAGTTGAAAAGTCCTGTCGGACTCTGTGACCCCATGAACTGCAGCCTGCCAGGCTCCTCTGTCCATGGGATTCTCCAGGCAAGAATACCATTGCCATTTCCTTCTCTGGGGATCTTGCCAACCCAGAGATCGAACCCACATCTCCTACACTGCAGGTGGATTCCTTGCCACTGAGCCACCATGATACAGCTTAGTGATTCTCAGTAGCTATCTGCATACCTCACTAAGGGACTCAGAAATGGACCGTTTGAGCTGGGGAAGGAGGAAGGAAAAGGCTCGCGTAGGGAACACTGAAGGGCAAGAATGTGCACAGCCCTGTCTAGGAGATGACGGGCCAGAGTGTCCAGCCAAGCACCCAGTATGGCGGGAAAACGCTCCCAGCCAGCACAGAGGGAAAGCCAGGCTGCTCCCAGGGGACCCTGCACTTAGACTCAAGGTTAAAACATGATGCGACTTTAGCCGCCCCTCCTCCCCAAAGGCATCAGGGCATGAGCAGGGTCTAAGACACCCTCTGCCAGCTCAGGTCACAGACCCACTGGCTCTAGCCCTGCACTACCCACCTGCACTGCCGGCCCCCCCAACCCCCTCCCCCTCACCCCCCACCCCCGGCCAGCTGTCAGGCTCTCCAACTGGACTGGAGGTCAGAACCTGCAAGAAGCAGGATGGTTAAAGGAAGGACGAGTCAGGGTGTGGAAGGCGAAGCAACTGGGCAGAGAGGGCAGTGAAGGCCAGCACAGGTATGTCCCAGGCTGGGGACATGCTTACCTGTTCCAGAAGGTTCTTTCATTGTAGCTCTCAGAAGGAGAGCAACAAGAAAATAGTCATACCCAGTGGCTCCAGAAGGGAGAGAAAGAGCATATTTTTGCAAATTTGAAGCTGCTCTGGTCATCCCCCAATGACACAGGTCAAATTCCCACTATTTATGTCACTTTTAGGTCAAAGCGTGGCCACCACCAAACCCTCTTGATAAGTTAATATGCCCCCTTAAAGAGGACACAATGACTAATAACTGCTCAACAAAACAGATTTTTTTTTTTTACTTGTTTTGAATTGATAAAAGGAGACTTCTTTTTGGAGAAAGTAGCTATAGACAAAAAAGACTAGCTGTGGGAATCAAGAACTTGGACAACACCCAGGTCAGGGTGCCTTGAAGTCTCCAAAATGGTCCTGAGTTAATAGCTGAGCCAGGAAATGTTGAAAAAAGTGTGTCTTCAGGGAAGCCTTAGATGTTCAACACCAAGGACTGGAATAAAGTCCCAAATGAAACCTGTCTAGCAAATCCCTTCCCCGGTTGGCAGACGCACCTATCTGCCCAGCCTCCATCCCCTCTGTGAAACTGATAGGGTCAGATGTCATGCTGGCGGAAGACTTTAATTGAAGCTGAGTCACATTAATTGCATCACTGTGCTATCCAAACTTAATTCCCCTGAAGTGACGTCATAAAACCAGGGCATTACAAAGGATTAGGGACCAAAAGGAAAGTAGACGTGAATAAGGTTTCCATGTGGCCATGACTCATGTCTAATGGTCGTGTCCCAAATGTGGGTGCTCATGACTCACCCCTGGTACCAGAACCAGCTCCACGTGGCCTCCACACATGGGGGGCTCTGACCTGGCCTCCCTCTGCTGAGAAGCCTGAGGCCCCAGCTTTAGTCAGGAGTGAGGGAAGCCACAGACAGGATTCACCGGACCAAATGGGACCTCTCAAGGTCTGAGCCTAAGACTCACCAAAGTTCAGTGTTGCCCCCAAAGCAGTGCCGCTTCGGGTGCTAATGTGTGCTATGTGGAAAACAAAGGGTTTAGTGGCCAAACATATTTGGTAAAGGGGTTGATCAATGGGTTTCCTCACTGCAAGGGGCCCTTAACCTGTTAGTAATCACTGAACGCTCGCAAAGGCAATAGGTTACGCAATGTTTCTTGAGGTTTGCTGACCGGGGAACCATTGCATTTGTAGATTTTTCTTTTTCTTTTTTTAATCTGGCTGCTTTGCAAGCCATGTGGGATCTTTGTTCCCCAACAAGGGATCAAACCCTTCCCCCCTGTTGTGGAAGCACAGGATCAACCACTGGACTGCCAGGGAAGTCCCCAGGAAATCCTTTCTGATGGAGAATTCGTGGGGTTAGTGCCCTGAAGAACACATCTCATAAAAGCCTTTTTAGTTGTAGCCTCGCCTTTCACCATTCCCCCCATCACAAAGACAGAGACGCCTCTGGACATTTGTGTTTCTAACACAGTGCATCGATGTCCATCCAGACCACTGACAGATTCTGCATCAGATTGCCCCTCATTCCCGCACACACGTCAACATGTTTTGGCTTCCACTAGAGGACTGCTAAGCCACACAGCATAGCACCACTGAGACGGACATCTGGGATTCTTGATTCTGATGTTACCATTGATGAAAGTAAGGCCCACGGAGCAGAAGCCACCAGCTGGCAATGAGACAGCTAGAGAGAAGCAGAGCCAAGACTGGACCTCCTCTGTGCTGAGTCTCAGTCCATCTCAGTCCCAAAGATGGGAACTGTTTCTTGGATATAAATAAATGCAGTTACTAGTCAATTAGTCAATGAGTTACTGCAATTACTAGTTACTAAGTTACTACATTGAAGAGTGATTCTTAGATCAATGGGCTACTAGATAGGTCTAGCAACAGAGGAAGCAGCTACACTCAAGTGGTGCCAAGAGTTAGGAGAGGACAGGTTATTCTTTTCAAACTCTCCATAAACATGCTGGGCAACTGAGAACTTACTACATTATTATTTGATCTGTTGGAGGATCTTTCCCCTGTTTCAGAGTTCTTAGTTGCAGACAACAGAATCCACTGTAGCCAGTTAAGCCCCCAAAATGGTTCATATTGGATAGTTTATGGTATCCTCAGAAGGAACAGGAAATGACTGCATGTGACACAAACAGGGAAGAACAGAACCAGGATAAACACCCAGCCTCACCATGGGTCTACTCTAGAGAACCTCCGCTGTCTCTACTCCTCCACTTGGCCCTTTCAATGCTCCGCTGGATGTTAGAAGAATCCCAGGGACCCTAGAAGAACAGACACCTTGAGCACATGCTTGTGAGAATATCTGCAGAAGTTCGGCACCTCCCCTTGCTCACTTCAGCATCTGCATCTCAAGTAGATGCATCTTTGAAGCCAAGCTAGATCACATGTGAGGAGGGCATGGCAACCTACTCCAGTATTCTTGCCTGGAGAATCCCCATGGACAGAGGAGCATGTCAGGCTACAGTCGGTGGGGTTGCAAAGAGTCAGACACGACTGAACGACTAAGCACAGCACAGCACACAGGTCACCTGCATCACTCTGTATTATGGGCTAAATTGTGTCCCCCTTCCCCAAATTCATGTGCTAAAGCCTTAACTCCATATCGTGACTACATTTCAAGATACTACATTTCAAGAGGTAATTAAAGCTAAATGAGGTCATAATCAGTACAGTTCAGTTCAGTGACTTGGTTGTGACTCTTTGCCACCCCATGGACTGCAGCACGCCAGGCCTCCCTGTCCATCACAACTCCTGGAGTTTATTCAAACTCACGTCCATTGAGTCAGTACTGCCATCCAACCATCTCATCCTCTGTCATCACCTTCTCCTCCGGCCTTCAATCCTTCCCAGCACCAGGGTCTTTTCCAGTGAGTCAGCTCTTCGCATCAGGTGGCCAAAGTATTGGAGTTTCAGCTTCAACATCAGTCCTTCCAATGAACACCCATGACTGAATTCCTTTAGGATGGACTGGTTGGATCTCCTTGCAGTCCAAGGGACTCTCAAGAGTCTTCTCCAACACCACAGTTCAAAATCATCAATTCTTTGGCGCTCAGCTTTCTTTATAGTCCAACTCTCACATCCATACATGACTACTGGAAAGGCCATAGCCTTGACTAGACAGACCTTTGTTGGCAAAGTAATGTCTCTGTTTTTTAATATGCTGTCTAGGTTGGTCATAACTTTCCTTCCAAGGAGTAAGCGTCTTTTAATTTCATGGCTGCAGTCACCATCTGCAGTGACTTTGGAGGTCATAATAGTGGGGCCCTAATCCAACAAAGCTGATATCCTTATAAGAAGAAGAGGCACCAGGCCCGTGTGAGGACATGCTTGGAGGCGACCATCTGCAAGCCAAGGAGAGAGGCCTCAGGAGAATCCAAACACGCTGACCCTTCGATCTTGTTCCCCCAGCCTCCAGAACTGTAAACAGATAAATTTCTGTTGTTTCAGCCATCCAGTATGTGGTTTTGTTATGGAAGCCCTTACAACTAATATACCTGCATGCATGGGAGCCTGGGAAACATAGTTTGTCGCTTTTCAGGCCCAAGAAAACAGAGAGGAAAATAAAAGGAGTCAATCATAGAATCCACTACTTTATCTAAACAACCGACTCTCAACTGAGATCAGAAATGTATGAACAAGGGCTTCTCTGGTGGTCAGTGGTAAAGAATCCGCCTACCAGTGCAGGAGACAGGGGTTCAATCCCTGGTCCAGGAAGATCCCACATTCCGCAGAGCAGCTACAGCCCTTGAGTCTCATCTGTTGAGCCTGTGCTCTAGAGTCTGTGCTCTGAAACTAGAGAAGGCACCACAAGGAGAAGCCCATGCTCCGCAACTAGAGAGCAGTCCCTTCGTGCCGCAGCCAGAGAAAAGCCCTCACAGCAATGAAGGCCCAGCACAGCCATAAATAAATAAGTAAAACTATTTTTAAAAAGAAGTATATGAATGGAACCCATCTAACACACTCCCTCCCCAGTTGGTGGACACACATGTTTGGACAAGCCCAGCCACCATCCCCTCTGTGAAACTGATGCGGTCAGGTGTCACGCTCTGGGCTTCTCCCAGATCCACCCAAACTTCCCTCCCATCACGATCCTGCCATCTCCCACCTGGACTGTGACCATCACTAGGTCCTCATCCAGCCAAGACTCCTGAGCACCCATCAGCTCAGCAACACCTCACGTGCATCTCCTCTCACCTTCTGAACAGAACTGTGCTTCCGGCCACATTTCACAGATAAAATTAAAATACCAGTAGACCACACACACTCGGTGAAATAAAGCTTCCCACCCTGCAAAAAAATAAAATAACAGTAGAAATAGAACATGAGAGCCGAAGAAAAGAGAAATACAAACAGTCCAGCCATTTGCTTCAGTGTTTCCTGGAAACCATGACATAATGGAAGTCAGATGTGTTATGTAAATTTCATTAATGGAGAAGAAGAAAACTACAAACTTCTCAAACGGAAACTGTTTTTTCTCAAGTTCTACGTTAAGAAATGGCTCCTCTAGGATTTCAAGCAGGGGCCGTGAAGGACACTCGGGACCAACAGCTCAGCAGGCTCCCTCACTAAAGATGCAACAGCAGATTTTTTACGGGTGTCTTCCCTCTGAGCCAAGGGTGTATAATTAAGAAGTAATTTAAAGAGCACCATTCCCAACAGACTCGCTTTTCTTAAATTTGCATAAATTGTGTGACTTCCCTGCCCAGAAGCAATGCTGTCTCTCTTTCCCCCCTCTGCTAGGTGAGTATCTCTCAGCTCCCAGGCTTCCTCCATCCATGGAAAGTCACTCCTCACCATTCCTGGCACGCCCCTTGTCTCCTCCCCACCTCTCTCAAGAAAGTATTCACCTCTCCTCCTTCTAACCTACTGAAATCCTGAGGACTCTGCAAGGAGGGAAGCAAGATGATAAGAAAGAAGAGAGAGTCACGTGGGGAAGGGGGCAGGGAGAAAGAGTAGGGAAGAAGGAGAAAAGGAGGCATCTTGAGAAGGGATGGAGGGCGGAACACCAGGACACGCTACGCCAGGGACTCTGTCGGCCAGGCTCACGTGTAAGGCTCAGTCTAAGCGCTGTCACTTCCCTGACATTTCTCTTCCCACTTCAGACAGGAGGATTTCCTGGTGCCTTCCATTGCTGCAGGTAGCAGAGTGGTAAAGAATCCACTCGCCAGTACAGGAGGCCCAAGAAACTTGGGTTCGATTCCTGGGGCGGGAAGATGCTTCCTGGAGAAGGAAATGGCAACCTACTCCAATATGCTTGCCTGGGAAATCCCACAGACAAAAGAGCCTGGCAAGCTACTCTCCATGGGGTCGCAAGGAGTCAGACACAACTGAACACACGTATTTGCCTGGCCCTGAACTATTGCCTGGCCAGTGAGTACCAAGTTCTTCCCCCGACATGCTCTCTGGCACCTTAGGCTCTGGCAATACCGAGAATGGGGAACTTGGCATTCCCCCAAGCATACCATGGCAACCTACCCAGTATGCATCCTCGCCTCATCCTTAATAACAGACTTTGGGATTTATTCAGGGTTGCAATGTGCCCAGCTCCTCCATGGAATCCAGGCAGAGACTAAGAAGTCTCTTTCAAGAAGGCTGATTAAGATGGAAGGAATAAGTTTTTCCCCTGTCCCTTCTTCTTTCTCTCTGCTTGGAAAACACAGACATCCTCGCTGGAGGCCCAGCAGCCATCTTGTGACCCTGAGGATAAAAGTCACATCCAAGAATGGCCAAAGCAGAGAGTGAGAAGTCACCTCCACACCACCACTGAACTGCCTGCTTTTGGACTTCTTCATGGAAGAGAAGTAATCCTTCATTTAATTTAAGCCACTTCGGTTTTCTCTTTTAGACGGCTAAGCCAAAATCTGGTACAACCGCCATGCGGTTTCATGCCTCTGAGACATTGCATAACTCTTCTGTCAGTAACTCCTTCCCTCCAGTTCTCCATCTGTTGGACCAGTAGTTATGTTCAAAGTCTCCACCAATCTCTCTCTGTGTGGAACGTGTGTTAGTCGCTCAGTTGTGTCTGATTTTTTGCAACCCCATGAACTGTAACCCACCAAGCTCCTCTATCCGCGGGATTCTCCAAGCAAGAATACTGGAGTGGGTAGCCATTCCCTTCTCCAGGGATCTTTCTGACCCAGGGATCGAACCTGAGTCTTCTGCATTGCAGGCGCATTAATTGACCCCTCAAGTGACTACATGTTGTAGTTCAGTTGCTCAGTTGTGTCTGACTCTGTGACCCCGTGGACTGCAGCAAACGAGTCTCCTCTGTCCTCCCCTACCTCCCAGATTTTGCTCAGAGTCCTGTCTATTGAGTTGGTGATGCTATCAAACTGTCTCATCCTCTGCCACCCCCTTCTCCTTTTGCATCAGTCTTTCCCAGGAAAGATTGAAGTGGCCATGTAATATTTATTTAATAAATATTCAGAGTTGTTTAATAATTGATGAATAAAAATTTATGAGAATGAATGAAAAATAAATTGTTTACACAAAAATGACAATAGTATCTATTCCAGAGCATGTCTCCTCTTCAGTCTCAACTCTTAGGGGGTCTTCTTTGGTCCCAGAGTCCCAGGGGATGATGTGGCATCTAAACAGACAGATGTGTCAGAGATTCTAGTCAATGCTGCTTGGGCAGTATGACACAATTCCCACCAAGGACAAAAGGAAAAAATAGCAAGAGAGCGAAGAAGAAGTAAAAATATATTTGTAAGAGCTTGAAAGAAGCACCTAATGTTTTTCACACTTGCCTCAAATTTTCCATGAAAATGTGAAGCTTTTTTTCCCTACATTAGAACTGATTTCACCCCAAAATGGCTTTCCTGCTGGGGTGAGCAGCCCAGAATACCAAATGGGTCTCTGCCGTGAAAAGAGTAGGGAGGACACTCATGTGAATTCCACGTGAGAGCTGGGTGGTGAGAAGTACCCAAAATGCCAAAGCAGGTGAGAGGAAATGCTGCTCCACCCAGAAATACTTTGGAGGCTGCACTGACAAAAAAAAAAAAAAAAAGAATGTCCATCTCAGCAAATGAACAAATATTCAACTAAGCAGGGATCACAACAAATGTTTCTGAGGACCTAATTGCACTGGGCAGGGAACTGCGTGCTAGGGGTTCCAGAACGGCCACAAGGCAACTCTGTCCTAAAGTCCTGGTATCAGACCCCAGAAGTGGGAACTGACATGATCTTTATCACCTTTGCTGCTGCCATCAGCATCCTCCTCCTGGCCAGAGCTGTTATTCCTTGAGAATTCACTGCCTAAAGGATGAGGCTAACCTAAAAGCAGGTGTTTATAAGGCGATATGATAAATGAAATGATAGAACTTTGCATATGATGCACTAGGGAGGAGGAGAGAATGATTATCTGAGATTAGATAATGTGTAGCCAAAAGGGAGATAGTGAGCAAGGTTTTGAAGGATACATAGAAGTTTGCCAACCTTAAGCTAAGATGCTTGGAAATTCTTTTGCCTCCAGAAGTCTTTAAATATGGTTCTGTATGAAGGACCCCTATATTTGAACTAATTTCTCAGAAACATTCCTTAGAGCAGCACTTTAAAGAAAAAAAGTTTGCCACGTCATGTGGCATGCAGGATCTTCATTCCCCTAAGCAGGGATCGAACTCAGGCTCCCTGCCTTGGATGTGCAGAGCCCACACCACTGGACTGCCGAGGAGTTCTGGAACAGCACATTTCAAATACAAATGTGCTTATGAATCACTCGGAAATCTTGTTAAAATGATCCTAGTTCCAAGAGTCTGGGCTGGGTCCTAAGAATTTGCAGTCTAGCAATGTGAAGATGCCACAGGAGGTCCTGAACACTCCTGATGTCTGAACGTCTCTCACCAACCAATAACAAGAGTTCTCAGGCAGTGCAGGTCCACGGGCCGTGGAGAATTGGCGTAAAGTATCTCAGACGCTCCAAAAATGAGGGAGCTGTTTGCCATGTCTTCCACCAGGACTGCTTCAGGACCGTGGTTCTCAACTGCACATAGAAATCCCTGTGGAGCCTTAACCTTCCCCATGCCCAGAACACAACTTGAACAGTTTCATCCGAGTGTTTCATCAGGATGCAGACTTTCCTGGTGGTCCAGTGGTTAAGATTTCGCCCTCCAACACAGCAGGTGCGGATTTGATCCCTGGTCAGGAAGCTAAGATCCCACATGCCTCTTGGCCAAAAACAAAACCAACAGCCCCTCCCCCATAAAACAGAAGCAATAGTGTAGCAAATTCAATAAAGATTTAAAAGAACAAAAGAATGTCTTTGGAGGAGGAACCCCAGCCTTGATAGTTTCTAAAGTTCCCCCTGTTTGCATGTTCAGTTGCCGGGTTACTCAGTTCTGTCCAATTCTTTGTGACCCCATGGACTGTAGTCCGGCTGACTCCTGTCCATGGGATTTCCCAGGTAAGAATACTGCAGTGGGTTGCCATTCCCTTCTCTAAGGGATCTTCCCAACCCAGGGCTCAAACCTGCATCTCCTGCATTGACAGGTGGATTCTTCACCACTGAGAAGCCCTCTAAAACTCCCCAGATGGTCCCAAAGTACAAGCAGTGCTGAGAACCCGGGCTTTAGGGCAGGAGAGCTCCACTGGTCATTTACGACGACTGGATGTGACGCCCCCTGCAGACACTACCGTCTCCCACATTGGACAAGCAAGTGCCCAGAGGTGAGCGATTTCTCCTACCTCCGCCCTAACCCCCTCCTTCTCCAAGTGCGGCCCCTAGACCTGCAGCTGCTGCCCCTGGAGGCTTGTTAGAAATGGATCCCAGAGTTCTTTAATAAAATGAGCTGACCCTGCCCATTGTCCCTAAAAACGTTGACAGTCAAGGAGGGACCCCTCTTCTGCGTAGGCCGCTCTGTGCCATCAGACTCTCTCTGAGTAGAAGCAGGAAACCGGAGCCTGGGGCCTGGCTGTGGCCCTGGGGCTGACCCCCGGGCTGTGTGCGTCACGCCAGGGCTCTAACCTGGGTCCCCCGGTCTGTCCCAGCACTGACTGCACCAATGCCCCTCCAGGTGGCACGATGCCAGCTGCCGAGATGAAGGGCAGAGCCCCAGACATCAGTAAGCTGCAGCAGCTCCTGACCCAGGGTGCATGGATGCATGGCAGCCTGGTGTTGCAAAGGCAGCCGTGTTGGAGCGTTCCCGCCCGCCTCTCCTGGCACGGGGCTGTTCCCACGTTTCTCGTGACAGGTGCGGCGCCCACTCTTATCCCCTCCCTTCCAAAAGTACCACGGACCTTCCGCAGGCCCTTTGTTCCCAGAGCAGATTAGCAAAGAATCCAGGGAGCCGCTATGGGAAGCTCTTCGGGCCTAATCCCCGGTGGAGGAAGCAGCTGGTCCTCCAGCTGGGCCCGGGTGGTGACGATACAGGCCCGGGTATGTGGCTCAGCTGGGCAGGCAGCCTGCGAATGTCCCCACCTGTGGGGCCGCCGTGGAGACTTCTGAGCTCTGAATTATAATGGTCACACAGGGCAGTAGGAGAGAGATCACATTCTAACACAGTCTGCTTCTGTGTTTCTGGGTGGTACTGAGATTCTGCTTTAAAAAAACAAATTGAGGGGGAGCTGTCCTGAGTCTTTGTTGGGGTGCACGGGCCTTCTCTAGTTGCAGGGCATGGAAGCTTCTCTCTAGTTATGATGCCTGGGTTTGGGGCTTCTTCTTGAGGTGCCAGGTCTCTCTTGTTGCAGAGTATGGGCTTCAGCAGCCATGGTGCATGGGCTTGATTGCCCAGCGGCGTGTGGGATCCTTGTTCCCCAACCAGGGATCGAACCCGTGTCGCCTCCATTGCAAGGCAGTCTTAACCCCTAGACCAGCAGGGAAGTCTCAGATTCTGCATTTCTGATGAGCTCCCAGGTGATTCTTGGGCTGCTGATCCTTGGACCACACTCTGAATAACAAGGACTGAGCACAACTAGTTTCGGAGACTTCCCAGGCCATTCTTGACTGCACGACTTTGAGAAAGGTATTTAACTCTGGGAGCCCCTGTTTCCTTGATTGCAAGATGGAATAATAATCACTGACTCCCCAGGGCAATAGGTCACTAAGCTCCTGAGTGAGCGAGTGGAGCTCAAGGCCAGGCTGTGCCTTCCACAGAGCAACTTACAGACTCTGTAAGGGTATCTGAGGAGAGTCTGAGGCTCAGTTACATCATTAGTTCCAAGGAGCCATGTGACAGCAGGAGTTTCAGAATCAAGTGGATTTGAATGGCTCTCTGGGTCTCAGGAATGCCTCTGTAACTTACGGGCACCGAAACTTAGGAAGGTTTTGTTGTTAATGAGTTTAAAAATCTTTAAAATACCAGCACGGGGCTTATTACGTAGGAGGTATTCAATAAATGTTAGTTTCCTTCCTGTGTTAGTTTCCTGTGTTAGTTTATCATTTTCCTATCTTCCAGAGAAAATGCAACTACAAACCGTTTGGGGTTTCTTGGGAAATCATTCAAGACCATGAACATGAATGCGTATCTCTAAATGACTATTATAGTCAGAATCCTTTGATCATAGGTGACATGAACCCCAGTTCCAACAGGCTTAAAAGGATATCACATGTTCTTTAACTGAAGAGCTTCCCTGGTGGCTCAGAAGATCAAGAATCTGCCTGCAGTGCAGGAGATCTGGGTTTGATCCCTGGATTGGGAAGATACCCTGGAGAAGGAAATGGCATCCCGCTCCAGGATTCTTGCCTGGAGAATCCCATGGACAGAGGAGTCTGGTGGGCTACAGTCCAGGGGGTCACAAAGAATCAGACACAACTGAGCGACTAACACTAACTTAAACTGAAAAGTCCAGTGGGGTTCAGGCATAGCTGGATTGCGGTGTCCACACAATATGGTCAGGAACTTGTCTCTCCACCTCTTTCCTTTGTATCGGCTTCATTCTTGGGCTGGCTCTCAGCATTTGGTGACAAAAATTATCTCTAGCAGCTCCAGGTTGACAGACCTGGCCTAAAAAGAGATCCTCTTTCCTGAACAATCCAGAAAAAGCCCCAGAGGTGACTCTTACTGACAGATTGAGTGATGTACCCGTCCCTGAGTAAATTGCTACAACCTGCTCAGTCCTGTGTGACACGTTGCCCTGGAGGCAGGCCACCCAATCACTTTGACAGAGCAGAAGAGTGATATATTGGTTTGCTAAGGCTGTCATAACACCGTACCACAAAATGGGTGGCACAGACAATAGAAATTTATTCTCTCACAACTCTGGAGGCTGGAAGACCAAAATAAAGGTGTCCACGGGGTTGGTTTCCTCTGGAGGCTGTGAGGGAGACTGTTTTAGCCTCTCTCCTGGCTGCTGATGGTCACCAGCAGTCCCTGGGGTTCTTTCACTTGGAACTGTTGTTACTGGACCAAACTTGGAGTCTGCTCACCCGCCATGCAGCAAAGCCAGTTTCCGGACGCCGGGTTATGGTGAAGAAAACTACAGCATTGGCCCTTCCCTGATGGTCCAGTGGTTAAGACATTACCTTCCATTACAGGAGATATGGGTCCAGTCCCTGCCCAGGGACCTACGGGAGCTAGATCCCTCGTGCCTCACAGCCAAAAAAACAAAACGTCAAACAGAAGCGACAGGTCCACATCAAAATAAACAAAAAAAGAAAAGAAAGTGCAGTGTTTATTGCAGCCACCAAGCAAGGAATAAGGACAGCTTAGGCTCAAAAGACTCAAACTCCCTGATGGTTTGCAGGAAAGCATTTTGAAAGACTGTATTTGGGGTGAAGGCGACAGGATGCATGCCTTTCTCCTGATTAGTTGGTGATGAGGGCACAGGGTGTGTTCCAGGAACCTCAAATCATCAACCTGCTGGTTCCAACCAGTCTGGGGTCTCCAGGCTTCTGCTTAGTTGTCACTGTTTCCTCCACTTGGCAGGAGGGGGTCTTAGATCCTGAAGAATAACTCAGAGCCATCCATCAGATTGTCATGCATGTCCCTTAAGGAGAACTGGGACCCTGATCTATTGTCATTACTTGTCTTGTTCGACTGCCTCTCCTCCTTTGCATTCCCTCGCTTCCCTACTTAGTAACTGCATAAGCCTGCTCTTTGGAATTCAGGGAAGGACTAGGAAACTGGAGTCTTTTTCTACAAACGAGAAACGGGGAATACAGAGAGACTTTTGTAACCAAGAGGCCCCTGCAGGGTTCTGCTCATTTTCAATCTCCTCTTTTCTTTGATTCTCTTCCATTTTGAGGGGAACAGCTATGGGACAAGAAAGGGAATAAAGTTTTGGATAGAGAAAGTGAAAGTGAAGTTGCTCAGTCATGTCTGACTCTTTGTGACCACATGGACTGTAGCCTACCAGGCTCCTCCATCCATGGGATTCTCCAGCCAAGAATACTGGAGTGGGTTGCCATTTCCTTCTCCAGGGGATCTTCCCAACCCAGGGATTGAATCCAGGTCTCCCGCATTGCAGGCAGATTCTTGACCTTCTGAGCCACCAGGGAAGCCCTTGGATAGAGAGGATAAATTTAGTAGAAGAACCAGGCTTTAGAGGCACTCAGTTTTGCTGTATCACTCTGTTCTCTGCCCCATGTTTTTCTGTGTCTTCACATGACCTTATATTGACATCAGTCATTGGATTAGGGCCCACTCAGATCCAGTATGACCTGATCTTAACTGTTACACCTACAAAGACCCAGTTGCCACATAAAGTCATTTTTTCTGAGCAGGAGTTACATTTCCAAGTGGGAGGAGACCATTCAACCCAATACAGGTGAGAAACCAGAAAAAAAAAAAACATTGGGTACAAATACCAGAAAAAACAAATGGCAACCCACTCCAGTATTCTTGCCTGGAGAATTCAATGGACAGAGGAGCCTGGCGGGCTACAGTCCATGGGGTCCCAAAGAGTCAGACACAACTGAGCAACTAACACTTTCATCTTTTTTTTTTTCACCAGAAACAAAAGGATGTGTATGCTTAGCAGATAAAATTCAAAACCAACTGATATCCATAATACCACGTAAGTTACCAATCCTCAAATCATAAAAACAGAGATCTTGAGCAAATCTGTTGTCCCACTGTCTAAAAACCACAGTGCCTACTTAACTACACTTGGGAAACTCCACAGGGAACCAAATTCTACAACCAGGAATCGCTCTTAAGTGGGAATGCTTCTTAGAGGCTGAGCTAAATTTGTAACGAGCCTGAAGTCTGGAATTCTCTTCAGGCAAATTCACAACTGTTCTGACTTCACATGTGTCTGAGATATTCAGAGCCTTACCCTCCAGGGAATTCAACTTCCGTCCTTAGAGCCCAGCTGCATCTAAAAATGTAAATTTCCTTTGTGAAGGCAAAAAGTCAACAATTTCTGAATCTCCGGCTTCAGGAGGCACATGTTCCAACATGCCTAAGCTGGACCCAGCTCCTCCGAATTACTGTCACCAAGATTCTAACCCAATTGCAGATTTCATTTCTTTTCCTACTTGCAGGAGAGTCAACTTTCAATTTCTTAGGGGGAAAAAAATGTAGGAGAATTTCATTTAAACTCTCAAAAGTGGTAACCAATCTCTGGATGATAGGATAAAGGAGGGTTTCACCACAGTATAAATTATTTTTAAATTAAAAAAATAAAGATGCTTATAAATTTAAAATATCTTCTAGTGGTTCTGCTAAACCCACTACAGCATATTAGCAAGGTAACAACCACAGATTTGGGATATCCAATGAATAAGAAAATTTCTCCACCGACAATAACCAAAACAAACAAACAAAAAAATCTAAGTGAAAAGAAAAGCAGTGGAAACAGAAAAAAAATTCCAGCCAAGTGACATTTTCCATTCTCATTTCCTCAAAGAAGCAAAGATTTCCCATTTGGTGCAGTGATACTCCCTGGAACCTGAGGCCACGCTTGGGGAACCGGAGTCTCAGGTCTGACTCACAATGTTGCCATTTCCCAGCTGTGTGACTCCAGGCGAGTCACTTTACCCATCCGAGACTCTATCTTTTCATTTTCTAAAAATATCTCTACGATTCGACTATGTTTATATAGTTGTCATAACACTCAAGGGCTTCCCCAATAGTTCAGTGGCAAAAAAACCCGCCTGTGATGCAGGAGCCCCAGGAGACGCAGGTTCTATCCCTATGTTGGGGAGATACCCTGGAGGAGGCCATGGCAACCCACTCCAGTATTCTTGCCTGGAGAATCCCGTGGACAGAGGAGCCTGGCAGGCTACAAGGCTATGGTCCAGAGGGTCGCAAAGAGTCGGATATGACTGAAGTGACTTAGCATTCATACACACACACACACAACACTCAAATGGGTCCATCTATGGGCAAGAGCTCTGAAGGGCATTGCAGACAGACGCTTTACCGTCTGAGCCACTGTGAGGCCAATAAACATGATAGGAGGTTATTATTAAAACTATTAATTATTTAAGCATGT